AAATCAAACCAGTTCAGGACTTCAGGAGCGATTCATCGTTTTATTGCTGCGACAGTCCTGTTTCGTATGGTCTAAGGTTGACCACACTCTGGGAGTGTGGTCAACCTTAGACCATAGTTTCCCATTGAACATAATTTTTTTTTTTAGCAGAATAGTGAAGTGACTATACTTTATTTCTGACTTTTTTGGCTTAGACGTGTGTAAACTAGGCTGGTCGTACTTTTCTGGCTTTTGCTACTCCACAAGTACGTCTTGCAAAAGCTGGAACGGAGGCACAAAAAACCTGCCAAATTTACAACACCAGCCTCATCGCCGTAAAAAATCAAGAAGAAAACATCTACATACAGCATCGTCTAAATGGGGACAAAGGATGGATTGGAATTAATGACAGAGACACTAAGGGCACTTTTGTCTGGGCTGGTAACCAGCTAAGAAACTTCACTTACTGGGTCCTGCATCAACCTAACGATTTCCGACTGAAGGAGGATTGCGTTCACACATTGGGAGTTGGACATAAATTTAAATGGAATGACATAGATCGCAAGAACTGTCATAATTACACATGTTCTTATGGTAATTTCATTTTTTCTTTGGCAGGACCACGTTATTTTGATTATCAATGGTTGTGACTAAAAACCCAATTCGTAACCTTAAAGATCAACCCTCGCTTGGTTGAATTACAATTTTGAGTGGTTGAAATTTGACGACAATAATCTCGCTCCATCCCTCTCTCCCTTCTTTTCTCCCTTCCTCCGACCCTCCTTCCTATGACTTCTCATTTCTAGCTGGTTTCCTGTCTGTTGGCTTTTGCCGTATTATTTCAAGCTTCTCTTTGTTGCTGTTTTGCTGTTGTTGTTGTTTCCTCATTCAAATTTTTCTCCACTATTGACCTTAATGAGTGCAAAGGAAATTATCATGGATGCAGCAAGAATGGGATTTGTACAAATAAACAGGGATCATACAACTGCCACTGTGCCAGTGGCTTTATCGGTGATGGTTGGAATTGTATAGGTATACTGTTGATAAGGAGTTCACCTCTATGTATTTTATTTTTTGGCTGTGTTATTTCATACTTATCGTTGTTGCTGTTTTGCTGTCGTTGTGTCCTCATTCCAATTTTTCTTCACTTTAAGACCTTATGGTTGTTTGGAGATCTGGACCAAAATCTATCCCAACAAACACGAAAGGCTGGCCATAAATGAGCCATATTTCATATAATAAAGGCTGATAGTTTCTAAAGAAACTGTTTGGGGCTGCGTCGGTGGGGGTAACGTAATAATTTGGATATAGCAACAAAGTTGAAATGGTAAATTGGCCACCTTAACGATTAAAAAAGCTGACGTTTCGAGCGTTAGCCCTTCGTCGTCGCTCCGACGATGAAGCCCTTTTGCTGACTGTAGAAAAAATTCTGTAAAGAAGGCTAAAGGGAAGGTTTTCATTGACCCGTTCAAACCTCCGGATTTACATTTTACTC